TCGGCGTACAAGACGACGGCCTCCTCATGGGCCTGGCGGGCGTCGGTGGCGATCTCGTTGGCGCGCAGGACGGCCGTCATGGACGAGAGGGAGCGTTTGGCGGCGAGCAGGTGTTCCACCAGTGTCTCAACCGGGACGGGGTCGGCGGCGTTGGAGGCGGAGTCGGAGGGGGCGGGATCGCGGCGGTCTCTGGAATGTGAAAGGGAGTCTCGGCCGGCGGAGGTGGACGAGGCTGCGCTCCGGCTCTGCGACGGCGAGTTCGCCATGTTGAATGGGGAAAAGAGAGAAGAAAAAGGTGGGTGCCAAAAGGGTTCTGCTGACTTCACGGGGATGGTCAGGAATTGAATCGATGCATATTTAGAAGAAAAGGGCAAAGAGGTCTGCGATAATAGGCGGTCAGGTCCAGCAGGGTGCGAAAGGGAAACGGAGGGCGGATGGAGGAACGGGAGGACGGGCGGGTAGTGTAGGTAGATGGGATGGTGTAGGGGACGAGGATGATGTCGCGATAAGGTTGGAGCTCGTCAGGTGTGTGATCCCTTATCGGCCTTATCGCAGCGTGGTGACGCGCCGTAGGGGTTCCTGTTAGTGCAGGCGCTCGGCCGTTCGCAGCAGCCTTATGTCACTAGTGGGTACCTTCCCCCTGTAGCAGGTCACTTTGGGCCCGTCTGATTGGGCGAGAGTCAGGGGACTGGCTGTCGCTGTCTGGGAAGCTCCCCGTAGCTTGCTGCTTCTCCAGCGCTCTGCAACGCTAATCCAAAGGTCCAGAACGCTGCCATGTTTCGCTGCGAACGGAAGTGATTCGCTCAGCTCCGTGCTGTGTCACCCTTCGCCGACCAAATTCGTCTCACCGGCCAGGGATATCGCCCTCTCTGGTCATGATTACTTTTTTTGACGTCTGTCTGTCTAATAACAAGCTGGAAACCCCTGACGCAATGCAAGACACGGCTGAGTCCCCTTTAATGGCGTCATATCTTCTCGGAATGACATGGGCAGTTCTGGTCTCCCACAATCCTCGCATTTGGATTACCCCCGTACACCCAGACCTCGTATGTCCTTCTTCCTCCGGGACTATCCACAACTATCCCCCGGAAACTTCGCTGGTGAGACATCTCGGGTGTGGTCACCCCGCAGCTTTCCGCCATTGTGTCTTGGCTGCGTATCGACCGCAGAGGCAGCGCCTCTGTGGACGCTATCCTCCTCCTGGGGCGTCTGGTGAAGAGTTTTGAGAGGCACTTGCGCATGTATTCAATGAACGGCTTCGTTGTGCCAAAGACCAGAAACACGAGGAGAGATGCCGTGACTCCGGGCATGAATAGTAGAAAATCTTGTCGCGCTCGCTTGGCGGAGATGTCTGGCGTGAGCCGCGCGTGGTCCACGGCAATGTTCTTTCTCGCGCTCGTCGAAAACAACATGATGGTAACTTCGAACATACTGTCCAGAGTTAGCTTTCTCCGTGATATCTCGAGCGTATTTCCAAGAAACCTACGCCAGAATCACAAACGAAATCATGAATCGCAGCATGAGCCATCTGTCGTAAATACTTGTCTTTCGGGGCTTGTGCCCGCTGGTTCCTCTCGAAGATGATGGCTGGCCGTACCCAACGTTCAACTTCTGCAGCCTGCGTCTGGATTGGATGTATCGTATCAATATGGCCAATGTCGCAACGCTGCCAAAGCCGATGCTCCACAACACTGTTGCTGTCAACATCCTTCCAACTTTGTTGAGAAATGGAGAACCTACATGGCTGTCCAGCCAGCAACAAAAAGCCACCAAAATTGTTCCGTATTGACGGAGCTTGCAGGCAGGTTGTTGTGACTAGAGGAAACAAGGGTGAAAACACCTTCCCAACTCGGTTGATGATCAGAAGTGGTCTCTTGAGCTTTGGCTTCTCATTCAGGCCCCAGACGGATTGCGCTAGTGCGAAAGCCCTATTGAATTTATGGTTAGAATCACGCAGTTATTTTGCCCATCAAAACGAGTATTCGTACCAGAACATGTCGAACAACGCAAGCACGTTGTAACAGTAGTATTCTTGGTCATGTCAGTGGTAATTCAACGTAACTCCAGTCTAGACTCACGAATGTAGTACAGCACCAAATCCTCCCCTATCGCAGCATTCGATATCACAGCCTCAGGGCTAGCAACGTTGGTCGCCGCATACTCAAACCGAGCCGTCATGATGTCCTCCCAATACAAGACGAGTCGAGTTTGCTGTATGATGGAGCAAACCGTGCTCAGTGTCGTGAAGTAAGCTAAACAATTCACATCTAAACTCATTAGTTACTGTTGGGGGTCACTTCATGCCGAGCACAACATACAGCTGATCCGTTCACCATGTTGCCAAGCAAGCCATACTACCATCAAACTCCCCAAGAGACATATAACAGAGTAAATAAGGACCCCAACGACCGTGCCCACGGCGTCTTCCGGGATCTGAGCCATGGTACGCACGACTCGTCACAATATCACCATGTCGTCGATGAATCGGTAGTGAAAGAGGCACAGACCATAAGTTCACAAGAATGGCATATTCCGAATCGTATATTTATCATCTCAACTAGCCGCACCCATCCCTCCCGTGGTTGCCACATCGCAGCCCTCCCCAAAGAAGAAGGAGGCAAAAAGTCGAAGGAGAAAAAGCGATGCATTATCACCCACACCATCCTCTTTATCCCGGCCCCATCCACACCTTTCTTTCCCTTTCCTTCCTGCCGTCCTACCGTCGGGAGTGTTCCGGCGCGAGACCAATAGGGAGTTTCCATTTACACACTCTTCTCCTTAATGAGCGAACCACCCATCCATCTTATTCTGTCACCGGAATAATTATCGGACGATAACGTCGAACCTCACCTCGGCCTCGGCCCAAGCCTCCTGATGGGGATGCATGCGTCTAGAGAGAATCTGCAGGGGTTGCTGATATGAAACCCCCGCTTTTGATATCCCATCTTGAACGACCACAGGCTCCAGCTTCTTCAGCATCGTGGGTATAATGCGCCTGTTATGATCGTAGGCCTGGGTTGCCGGAATGGTAGAATGGTGCTTGGGTACGAGAAACGAAACAACTACACTCAATTGCGTGCTGGTAGCTGAAGAGCAGTGAGTCTTGGCTCTTGGGAGGCCTCGGCCACAAGATGATGATGTGACTGAGATGAGTTTGGTTCTTTCGACTCCGAAACCTTGGGACAATCAAGTTTGGTTTGGGACGATTAACTGCATTTCAGAATCGTTAGAACTGAGAAATGATGATACACCAACACAAAGTCGACACAGCAGAAGTATCACCAGGTTTAGTCCCCCCACCTGGATTGAGTTCAATTGACAGCGGCCTCACCCGAACACGCAGCTTCATCCCACAGGATGTCACACCTAAAAATCGACAGAGAAAAAGAAACCTTCCCACGCACAATAACTAACAGCAATTCTGTCCGAAGCCTTCGGACCTTCACCACACCAGACATCAAAAAACCCCGGGACCTGCATGCAGCGATATGCTTATTGTGTGCTCCGTCAGCACTACCCCGCAGCACGCATCTCTTTCCCTGAGTGGAATTCTCCGAACATGCATCAAAATTCTCCTTCCTTCCCTGGAAACCATCCCCCGGACTCACGTTCTGGATTCGCGCACCGCCATGCAGCGCACAATGTCTGCTCCGTTTCTGTGCTGGCCACCAGCAAAATGAGGAAATCGCTGCTGTACTGCCGACAGGAGCCGGCGTTCAATCCCTTCCGCGTTGGGCCAGACTGCAGCATTATGATGGGAGGGCAATTAATCAGCGGGAAGGGCAGATAAAACCCCTGCAGCAGTAGCTGCCACATGGGAGTTGTGGGTGGGTTGTCTGGGCTCAAGACATGGTCGCCGATCGACGAATGCCTGCCTGCCCGGCCGAAGCCCCAGCCACCCTCTTTTTTCGACGTCCGCAGCCTTTCGTTCAGAGTCCGTCGCAATTGAGTGTGAGGGTCGCATCACGAGACGTTAGTGAAAGTGCTTGCAGGACTGGCTCCGTTTCGAGCCAGGGGCGGCCCGCGACGGCGACGCCCGGCGAGCCTGAATGACGGAGACATCCGTGGGAGACACAACCAGGCTGGCACACGGATTCTGTCAGTCGGGCTAACTTAGACTTGAGTTCTGCCGTTTTGGCCGAAGTGAGGTTGCATTCTCGGGCGGATCGTCGTCTGTTCTAGACTTGCATGCCGCGGTGGCGATGGGTTGAGACACGCTTGTGTGTAGATGAGATGAAACTTGACACCATCTTTTATCGACCACGTGTATCAATCAGAATGCCATATTGCCATCGATCTTTGTAATTCTTAGAAGATCGATTTTAAGTGACTTGTCTTGTCTGAAGGGGTGTGCGGCTTCGGCTCCGGGTTACCCATCGGCCTCCGGCTAAGATCACCGGGGACGGAGCTGGGTAAAGTCCCGTTGTGTGAGTGCGAGTGAACGGTCTTCAACATCTCTCCGAAGGGTTTCGAAAGGGTTTACGCCCTCTGACACAAACACCAACGTATGTATGAAATGTCTGATTAGGAAGATGCAGAGTCACGTATGTGTGGTGGTCAGCAAGACCAAATTCTCCCGACAGCTCTCTCCAATGCGAGCAATGACTGTCCAACAGCCCCAGTGTAATCCATAGCACCCCCAGTTCCCCATCGTTCTCTTTAACTCTCTACTAACAACGCCTTCCGCCCATCTACATTCCATTTTACTCTCGTAGAGCTCTAGCCGGCTCTTTCTCCGGCAACTCAACCACGCCCCGCCGACGGCGCTAGCAAAATATTCTCCGTCCCCATGGCCCACCCCGAACGCCGTCGACGGGGCCGAAGCCACGCCTCTATCCACACTTTCGTCGCCAACCGCAAAATTTCATTTCTCTCGCAAACGACGGTCCGCTTTCTGCATCCACCCGCCTCCATCGTGAAAACTCTGCATCCCGCGCATTCTTGGACTCCCTCCCCACCGAACTCCTCAACATCCACTGGGATTCATCCCAGTAACAACTGGCCGGTTGGCCCAATGGCAAGGCGTCTGACTACGATTCGATCGTGACATCAGGAGATTCTGGGTTCGACCCCCAGGCTGGTCAATCTTTTGCCTCTTGGAATGTTTTATACCTATTGGCCGCCCCGGCCTCGATTCATCAGACGTTACCGACTGGGCTGTCAATATCAAGCGGTCTTCGTGGCTCAGTCGGTAGAGCGTTGGTCTCATATTATTCAATATGACTCTGTCTAAGACAGAGATATCCAAAGGTCGAGAGTTCGAGCCTCTCCGAGGACAATCCTTTTGAGCATATGTAGTGCCTTGTTTTTTCGCGGGTGAGCTCCCTGGACTTTATTTACCTTTTTTGTTTCAGGCTACGATGTACAACAAACAATAGAAGTCCCCATTTATGTATGCGTGCCGTTCAGAATATTGTTCAACACTGTACTGTAGTTAAGTGTTCTTGAGGTGCTAATATTTATTGCCTGCTAGTCTCACTAACGTAGTGCGTCTCTGCTGTGATAGGAAGTAAAACTTCGCTAAAAAATGCTGTCCAGCTTGCACGTCTCGGTTGTTACAGTAACCACAATTCAAACGACGTGATATTACAGATGAGGAAATAACTGTAACCACACGGGCATTGAATAGGCACCTATTGGGAGATTGCGCAGGCTTGCGAAAGATTCAACAGTCAGATAAAGACGCGCAATCCCATTCAACGCCCCAAATGCCAACAAAGTCCCAATCATGACTGTTTCGATGACATTGTCCAAGTCTAGATAGATACACAAAGTTGTAACGAAGAAAGTTCCAATGGGCATGGTGCTTGCTGCTTTCCAGCAGATTCCCTCTGCTTGTGTGGGAAACTTGCCGTTCCATCCAGATAGATGTATTCCACTGTATATCAGTGTGATAACCAGTGTGGACACAGAGAATCGGTAGCCGAGGTCACCCAGAGACTGATGCTCGTCGTGACTATAGAACCAGGGTCCAAGGAGAACGAGTGTAGCATGCCACCACGAGTTTGACTTATCGTATCGGTCTTCAATGCCGATTGCATAGTTGCCCCCCCCCAAAGAAAAATGATTTGAAATCAGTCCTAGAAAGATCCTGTTCATAAGGCTGTAAGTCCGCTCCGTAAGAATTGCGGATAAATTGCGTTGCCTTTTGTAGACGAACGATGTCAGTTGGCTGAAGATACAGGATTGGCTCCCCGTTATACTTGAGACCGAAAGGCAGGGTCTCGCGTTGCCGAAGACCTCCAGAGTGGGGAACTTCTCTCTGTGCCTCAAGGTCATTCCGATTGATGTCTTGCGGGATTCCAGAAGTGTCCGAAATCACGTTTATAGAATCGTTATCAGCGGGGTAACTGTAGCTGTCCCTTGGATCTGCAAGAACAAATTGATTGGGGCAAAGTTGTGATTGAATCGCGAGACTTATGGATCCCAAAACATCGTCAGACTCCGAGCCCAAAAGCTCGGGAGTGTTCAGGTCAAGAGGTTTCTGGATTGGTGGTTAAGGGATGATTGATAGCCGTTTCCTTTGTGACAACTTACTGACGCCCAGCAGAGCAACACAGCCAATGCGCATACCACATGAACCATCGTGTGTATCTCCAAAAGTATGATTGGAAGCCCTTGCGCCTTTCGAGCGATGCATTGAATAAACATCCATAGGACTTGAGTAGCAATCAAGACTTTCTGGAATACGTTTGCTTTGCTCTTTTCAGTGACATTCGCACGCTCCATCATGGTTTTGAGATCCAACAGTCCCATATCGATCAACTTCAAAAAGCCGGCAGGAGATATCGCCAACCTCCCTGGGCTGAATTTCATAAAGTCTGGACCGACACTGATACCCTCCCGGTCCAAGTCTACTTGGAAACCCCCCATTTCGACAAAGAAACAAAAATTGAGCGGAATATTCTGTTCAAGAAGCTCTTAATTAGCTGGTATACCGAAAAGCTGAGTGGTTTATAACGAACAATGGGGCAAGACTTGTTTTTCTGCGAATGCAGTCTCTTCAGCTTTTCCCGCAGTGAGCGAGCTGCAAATAATTGAGTTGCTGCAATAACGAGCACCGTGTCGGGATAGAAAATAGTGATTACGGTCCATCTAAGCTTGTCGAAAAAGCCCGCAAAACGCCCTCTCTTCACTGGGATATTCAGATGAAGTACCGACCAGACGCAAGCGAAAAGTGTAACAACGCAAGTCAATAAAATATCGACGGTGCCTCTCACTTTGGGAGAGTCTACCCATGATGCTGCGGAGATCGTCGAGAGTGCTTTCGAGTTACCATCATGTTCCGTAATGAGCCGTTGAATGTCGTCCGCTGACTGCGATTTTGCCGCAGCGAAATTCAAAATGGCAAGGGAAAACAGCCAAAACGCCGATTTTAAAACGGCCATTGGGGAGAACGGTTACGAAATTACAATGGCCTAAAATTTTGTTGAAAAAGGGAGGAAAGGGTCTCTGAGGCCATGCGCCCTGTGATCCGGGACGGGCCAACCTTTTGGTTATTTCGAGCCTGCACGCCCTCGGAGCTGAACTCCCTTTAGCTGGAATCAACTGGCTGATGCTTCATCTTGGCTTGCGGCAGGCTGAGTTGGTACGGGGATCTTTTCCGTTTACGTTGTCGTTGTGTCACACAACTTCGCAGGTAGAAGCAGGCTGCGCTTACCCTGCACCCCATCAGCGGTCGAATCCCTGTCGAGATTCGAAGCACTAACCTACCAAAGTAAGCATGACTGACAGCTCTGCGAATGATATGGTAGATTTTACGCCGGGAAGCCAATCATGTGGGACGAAATGTGCCTTCCGAAAGAGCTTTGATTTCAATATTCGAGCTGGCGACGCCATTTGACTGGGGACAGGCATTCTTCCCGCCTTACATCCGTCATCTGTCTACACTTTTCTAACATTGTCCATCAAGCCGGTGATCGCATACCAACAGTGACCGCATACTTCTTTACTCTCGAGCTCTTGCTCAGCCTCTACGACCTATGCGACAGCCCCGAAAGTCAGCATTCCAATCACGGAACTCAGAGAGCCGCGGCTTTTGCCAGGTTTAGTCAGTACATACCGAAGCTAAGCAGCCTAAAGCAAATCGTCGAGTGTGGACTATTCTTCAAATTTCGTCCCCTTGTTCACAGCGTACCTCACCGCGTCGACGAAGCCGTTAAAGTGGTTCCACCATCCAGGCGCGGGCTCTGGCAGAGGAGAACGGGGAACGTGGTTTATTGCAAGGCCCAGAGTTGGTGTCAAGAGAGTGAGAAAGCCGATTACAAGCGCGAGATGCTTCATGTTGAAGTCGTTAATTGGTTTGAAATTAGGTGGTTGAGTCGAAGTCAGGGGGGATAATTGGACGCAGTTGTTGTTTTGCTTCATACATCCAATGTTTGATGGGGGACCGTTTCTGCCAGCTTGGCAAGGCGGCTCAAAAACTCCCTCCTTATACCCCATGAGCTAGACATGGAGGTTACGCTGTGACCCTCCACATATCTCTCCGTCAGAGTCATACGGCAGTCAACAAGGTGCGCCTCCAGGCGGCAAACTGCGAAAGAAAAGTTAGAAGGGAAGAAGGATGATCTCCCTGTTTTTCGGGGAGAGAATCATGGAGACAACGTGCGGCTTTGAGCGGCTATGCGTTCACGTGGATCAGCTGGTAGACGAGCGATACGCAGAAGTTCATGCGGAATATTCTGGACGAACTAAGCCACAGTCATCATGACCAGAATACGGAATGTGTGACATCAGATTGAGTTTGTAGTTACGACGCAGCCCCCCGCAAAAAGACTACGGCAAAATTCACTCTACACGCGGGCACAATTCTGGAAACACTATATGGGTACTTACTTTAACCTATACCCTCTACCGATTAAGGAAAACAGTACAGAAACCCTATACGTTCGCTAGCAGGCAAACCTTCGCACAAGGTCGAACGCGCGCCCTGACCGAATAGACTGGCGGAACAGCAACGGCGCCGGCCGCGCGACGTGTCACATCAGATATTTTGTATGAACGAGTATTGATTAAAATTAAACATTAGACATATAACGCTTCGTATCTGAACATATCTATACAGGCATGACCACGTCTTGCACTTAAGCCATCGTCCTGGTGACGAAAGGCAGCGAGCGCTTGTTGTAGCCAGAGTTCTTGTCAACGGCGACCTTGACGGTGGCGCTGGAAAGGGGCGCCTTGACGTCGTTGCACAGGCCCTCGGCCTGGTCCTTGGGCAGGAAGACACGGGGGAGACCGCCGGCAGGCATCTGCACCCAGAGGCGGCCCTTGTCAGCAACGGTGAAGGACTCGCAGTTCACAACGTCGATGACCTCGGAGCCGATGGCGAAGAGGTGGGCATTGCGGGCAATGGCGAACATGGCGTTGTTGGCGGCGTTGACGCCACCGCTGGTGTACATGGAGAAGAGCTGACCCTTGCGGAAGGCGATGACTTGGCTCTGGTCGTCGCTGCCGTAGGAGAAGACAGCCTGGGTGCGCTCAGTGGTCAGGAAGCTAGGGTTGGCCTTGGCAGCGTGCACGCGGATCTTGTTGGCTTGCTGGAGCCAGCCGTAAAGCTCGGAGTTGATGTCGTAGCCGGCGAGCCAGAGGGCCTCACGGTTGTTGGGGGTGGTGCTGCCGGAGAAGTGCTGCTCCTGGCCGTAGTAGATGATGGGGATACCGTCGCGGAGCAGGGTGAAGGCGTAGAAGTTCTTGGCTAGGGCCATGTCCTTGTTGGTGTAGGGGAAGCGTGGCTGGTCCTGGTTCTCAGCGAAGGAGCCGAGCAGGGAGGGGTCGATGCTGGTCTTGGCGGCCATCTCGTTGGTGCCGGTGAAGACGACCTCGAGGTCACTGTTCACCTTCTTGAAGGAGTCGGCGAGCTGGTGGTAGGCGCTGTAGTCCATGAAGCCGTCGATGACCTGCTGGTAGGGGGCCAGGGTGTCCAGGCTGGTGTGGCTGATCTCACCAAGGAGGAAAACACCGGCAGCCTCTCTGAAGCCACCCACGCTGAAGAACTCGGGCTCGATCTCGAGGACCGTGTCAACGCGAAGACCGTCGATGTTGTACTTGGTCACGAAGTCCTTGATCCACTCGGCGTACACCT